CTGGTCCTGTACCACCTCTACTCCTGCTCCTGTACCACCTCTACTCCTGGCCCTGTACCACCTCTACTCCTGGTCCTGTACCACCTCTACTCCTGGTCCTGTACCACCTCTACTCCTGGTCCTGTACCACCTCTACTCCTGGTCCTGTACCACCTCTACTCCTGGCCCTGTACCACCTGTACTCCTGCTCCTCTACTATGCCTACTCCTGCTGCTGCTGGTATTGTTTCTATTACAGCTCTTCATTACAGTCCAGCACCTTGCACTCTCTAGTGGCCCCAGTACTCCTGCCCCAGCTTTCTGGAAAACTCCCCAGAGTCCTTGGAGAGCAAGAGGCAGGGGTGGGAGACAAGAGGACACCTTTGGTTCAGCCCCACAAGCCCACAGGGAATCTGATAGGCTCTGACCTGGGAGACAGGAGGGCAGCCAGCCAGTGTCCCTCCCTGTGACTGTCCACTCTCTGCCTCAGGGCCTGTTATGGCAGCAGGCAGGTCCCCACATTCCAGGGATGGGGTGGAGTCCCAGGGTCTGAGTCCTAGTCACAGCTGACCCTCTCTCACACTCTAACCTCAGGGGTATCTCCATGACAGTGGAGATAGGATATACCATGCTTTCCTGGGAGGGGCATGTGATGTGGGCTGTATCCAGGGGTGAGTGTAGGGGCTCCCAGGTATGTCCACTGCAAGTAGCCCTGAGGAGTTGATCCTGGAAGGGCAGCAGGTTCCCACCAGGGGCCAGGTTCATGCCCTTGAGGGACTGCAGAAGGTTCACCCTGCCGCCCTGGGATGAGAGGTGGTGGTCAGCTGACACTGGACTCCTCTGCGTAGCCTTGATCAGCACTTAGACCCCTCCCATAGCCAGGCAAGGAGGAAATAGGCGGGGAGAGGGGAAACCTGTCTCGGGAGTTCTGTTTCGGTTTTGTTTTTCTGTCTTAGAATTTCCGAGAACTCGGCCCCGGCTCACCCGAGGTGGCTGGCTACTGGCCTCTGCAGGGAAGAGCCCTGTGGTTTCACTCTGAGTGGACAGAGAGCAGCTGCGACTTCGGGACACCTGTGGCCATTATGAGCCTCTCCAAAACACAGGAGTCCAGCCCCGAGCCTCCTCTCAAGTTCGTAAAGCGCAAGGATGAGATAACTGGTGAGGGATTGTGCGCTTGGAACGCAGGGGCTGGTTGCAGGGTGGGCCCCTCACTTTGGACAGGGGACTTGACAGCGCCCACACCTTCTCCAGCCACCCCTCAATTTCTAAATATGAAAATTAGCCATTCAATCCGAGAGCCCGCGTCACTGGCCACAGCAAACTTCCTGCAAACGGGCCTGGCAAGGGCTCCAACGGGAACTTGGTTACTGAACCCTGCATGCAGGGAGGGGGAGGGCCGGCTCCCCCGCGCATCTGCTCTGGAAGAATCAGTGTCCTGTGTCTCCTGCTTTGGGGAGGCAGGGGCTGCGGGATTTGCCTGGGAGAGAGACCCCAGAATGGGGAGCTCTGGAACAGCAGCTGGAGCTGCCTTGTCCAGGGGAGGCGAAGGGAGGAAGGCTCAGCCATCTTGCCTCTGAGCTCCACAGCTGGTCACCTGTCATCCCTTGGTGAGGAAACCGCCCTGGACTGGAGGACAGAGACTCCTTCTGATCAGTGGGCTCTATGACCCAGCGCAGTCAGGGGGTGGGAACAGGACCTTGGAAAGGAGGTCTCCATGCTGGCTGGATGGGGTGCCCTGTCCCTTCAGACCACAGGAGTAGGGCAGTGACCAGCCAGGGAATCTGGAGGAGGAAGAGACCAATGCCTCAGGTGGGGGGAGGTCTTCCTTCAGCAGGACCACTAAGGCTTAGTGACAGGAGTAGCCCCAGAAGGCACGAGGTTCTGCTCTGTGAAGGTGATGTCACTCAGCGGGACAGGGGAGACTTCCTCCTCCTCGTTTTCCAGGCTGTGTGTGTGGCCTGGGTGTGGGCAGTGACATTGTGGCCCCTGATGCACCCTCATCCTCACAGGGGACGAGTATGACGGCCTGGAGCGGGTGGAGATGAGCTGTGGCCACGCCGTGGACCCAGGGAGCCTGACCGCCTGGTGCCGGAGCCTGCTGGACCAGGTGGGACTGCACAGCCAAGGCCATGGCCAGGGGAGAGGGGTCTGTGATTGCACATTGGAGAGGCACGCAGCTCTCCTTTGGGGAATGGGTTCCAGCACCTCAAGTCCAGTCCAGGTGCTCTATTTCTGTCCTCTAGCATTCTAGGTTCCCCCTGAGGACCCACATAAGGTTGAAGACTCCTGCAGCTGCCCCCTCACCCAAGATCCCAGGGGAAGGCAGGGAGTGACAGGGGCCCCTGATAGGGAAGCACTAAGGGGACAAGTGGGAGGTCAGGTAGAGATGCAGCCAGGGTGGATGGAACTGAGGGCAGGACCTGGGGTCAAGCCAGTACACTGTGACCAGTCTACCCTCTGCCTGGCCTCCCAGGGCTACTTCAAGCTGTGCTGTCCGGCTGATGTTGACGGGGAGAAGTGCGGGGCTGAGTGGCCCTACCCAGAGGTGCGTCGCTGTGCAGTGCTGAGTGACACGGAGCAGCGAGAATTTGAGCAGAAACTGGCCCTGATGGCGGCAAAACTCTACTGTGACTATAAAGAGGTAAGTGTGACACTTCCTGGAGAGAGGTCTAAGGTCTCACAGGGACCAGCCTGTGGGATCTGTGCTGCTCACCAGGTGGGTTCCAGCTCTGCGATGTGGGATCTGGACAAAGGGCTCCACAGCCTCGTCACTGCCCTGCTGGGGCTGGACGTCTCGTCCTGTGGTCCCTGAGAGTAACCCCTGCCCTCCCTCCTCCCACAGTGCCCCAGATGCAAAAGCCTGGTGGAGAGGAAGGATCTGACCACCATCCGCGTGTTCTGCATAATCTGCACCAACTACGAGTTCTGCTGGCAGTGCCTGCGGGCCTGGAAGGGGGCGGGCAAGCCCTCTGATCGCTGTGACAATGTGGGCTGCAGGGATCCGAGCCTGGACACCCTGGCCTCCTGTGTCACCAAGGACCTCCCGGGCAGCGAGATCCAAGGCTGTCCATCCATCAGGGCCTGCCCCACGTGCGGGATGCTCATCGAGCACAAGGAGAAGTGCAAGTACGTCGTGTGCTCACGGTGCCACGTGGAGTTCTGCTTCGCCTGCCTGGACCTTGCTCAGGTCTGCCAGGCTGCCAAATCGGGCGCCTGGTTTAAGTGGTGTGCCAAGCCTCTGGCCCCGAGGCAGCGCCATATCCCCGTGTGGCGTCAACAAGGATCATCTCCCACAGAGGAAAGCAGTGACAGGGGACAGAGCCCCACCTCCACCCCAGAAGATGGTACCAGCTGTGTGTTGGCCTAAGTGGAGAAAGATGAGAGTGCTATTGATAAAGAGCTGAATGATAGAGAAATAGGAAGACAGATAGGTGGGTGGACGGACAGATGGCTGAGTGGACGAGGTCAATGATAGGTGAGTAGGTAGATAGACAAACATTGCCTAGTTAACATTGTATGTGGATATACAGAAGTGTCATAGGATTGACCCCAGATCCAGGCATTGGTGAATAAACTTAACATTATTACAGATTGAGTGTTGGTGCTGAGACTGGAAGAGCTCACTAAGGGACATCTACATACAAGGGCCGGGGGGGCAAGGGGTCCGAGAGCAGCAACACTTTAAGTTGGACTTCAGAGACTGGGTGGTGCCAAATTGGGCTAGAGGAGGGCTGTCCATGGCTGGACTTGGGGAGGTCTGACCATGGCTGGACTGGGAAAGGGCTGACTATGGCTGGGCTGGAGGAGGAGGACTGACCATAGCTGGACTTGGGAGGGTGGGGCTGACTATGGCTGGAATGGTGGAGGGGATGACTATGTCTGGGCTGGGGAGGTTGACCACGGCTGGAATGGTAGAGAGGTGACCGTGGCTGGACTTAGGGAGGACTGACCATGGCTGCACTGGAGGAGGGAGGATGACCAAGGCTGGTCTAGGCTAGGCTGGAGAAAGTACCAGGGCCCTGCCCAGAATCCCCCCCAAGCCCCTACCCCCGACCCTTCCTCCTCAGGGCTGGTGATGAGGCCTGAGGGCCTGGGCCCCCAGCTCCCGAAGAGCTTATCATGCAGCTTCAAGTATTCTGGCCCGTAGCTGCCTGTTTGGGAAGCCCAGACTGTAGCCTTTCCTCAGAATGGACTCCCTGTCTTTGTGTCACATGCAGAGGAAGGTGTCCTATGTCTGAAATGCACTTGGTCCTGGCTCAAGACCCTGCTGACTAAAAGCTCCTTGCTGGGGAGGGGGGGCTGGAGCTCAGTAGTTGAGGGATAAAGCCAGTCTTGGTCTGTTTCCAGGGTGAGGACACTTCGTGGAGACTGCTGGCCTGCTCACCGGGAGCACCAGCTGGCGCGGTCCCTAGTGCCCCACCCACAGGAGGATGCCAACCTTCCTTCTGTGGGCATACTCGGGACAGAGTGAGGGACAAGAGAGGACACTTAACCCTTCATGGCCATGGATCCGCCTACCCCCCGCAGCCTGGCTGGCCAAGGAGTGTGGGGCCAGGCTCCAGAACTTGGGTCCTGGTCTGGACAGGAGGCCTGGACAGCTTTGGTGGGACTCTGGCCCTTCCCCCTCAGGAGATCCCTTCACACTGGTTTTTGGGGTCCTCCTTCTTGCCAGCTACAATGTGGTTACCACTCTGGCTTCGGTTTTCCTTACCTGGCTAAAGAGTTAAGCCAGGTGGAAAGACCAGAGGCCGATGCCCCAGTGTCCCAGCTGCAGCAGCAGCACAGAGCTGTGACTAGCAAGTGAGGGCCATTCTCCAGGAAAGGGCAGGGCAGACGGTAGCAACGATCACTGTCCCGAGTGAGGAGCCAGGAACCAGGTAGGTGATGGTGGACCCCGGCCACCTGTACCACAGTCTGTGAGAGACGCTCGCTTCTGCCTGCGGGCGAGCTTCGGGGCTTGAGTCTGGGCCAATGGGGCGAAGCTGCCAGGAGTTTGAAATTTCGTGGGCAGTTTTTACTCCAGTCCTCGTTCCTGGCCACAGTCCACAAGGAGGTGTTCAACCCCCAAAACACCATGCAGGCTGCTTCCTGACAGCCTCTACTATGGACGTAAGGCCTGAGGGGCGCACGGCCAATACCATCTGTTCCCCGATTTTCATGGGGTAGGATCTAGTTTTAGCCACTTTGCTTGCTTCTTGTCCTCCCCAGCTCTCAGCAAGGGCTCCTTTGCTCTTAGCTACTTCTCTTTTTTTTTTAATTTAAAATTGTTTTTTATATTACTCTGATTTATTTATAAAGTTTGTATACTTTGTTTTTCACAAAAGATCTTTCCCATTTCCTTCACCCACCCACCCATCGAATTGTGCAGCCCTATGATTAACCCCATCCCCCCATCCTCACCCCTCTATTTCCACCCTCCCCCACTCCTTGGATCCTCATTCTACAATAATGGTTTTACACAGTATTTGTCCTTATGGGACTGAGTTAGTTCACTCAGCTTAATGCTCTCCTGTCCCTCCCAAGTTAAGTAGTAATTTACAAAATCATTGCTCCTGAGTGCTGCATAGTACTCCAGTGTATGAATTTTGGCCTTGGCCTTTAATGAGTGCCTGCCTTTCCTTATCTCCTCGTATATGCCCTGTCATTCTTTCCACTCCTGTGCCTGAATTATTCCATTTTGGCCCTAACAAGCCCAGCCCTGCACGCTGAGCTCTCAGAAATTCCAGGAGTGTAAGACAGTGCCACCTCCATGGAAGGCCACCTGGGGCTTTCTCAAAATGTTGGAGATAGAAATACCATTTGACCCAGCAATGCCACCACTGGGAATATACCATAAAGAAACCAGAGCTGCCACCCAACAGATGTATGCACATCCATGTTTATTGCTGTGTTATGCACAATAGCAAAGAGATGGAAGCAACCCAAGCACCCATCAACAAACGAATGGATAGAAAAACTATGGTATGTTCATATCATGAAATACAACGCAGCATTGAAAAACAATGAACTCGTAAGACATTACACAACATCAGAGACTCTGGAGGATCTTAGTCACAAAAGGACAAATACTGCATAGCACTGCTGTTATAAAGCAGGACTGATATGAGGGGTTCAGAGGAGAATGGGAAAAGAGTGGCTAGATAATGAACACTGAATTGGAACAGATGAAAGAACTGTTTAAAAGGAATGTATGACTAGGCATTATACATATGAGAACAGCTCAGCATAAGATGTACATCGCAAAGAGGACTAGGGGAGGGAGATGGGAAAGGGAGGAAATTGGGCAACAGTGAATATAAATGAAAGAAAAGAAAGTGAACTAGGGGGGAGGGAGAAGGGAAAAGTGCAACAACGAATGATTGAGCACCCAACTTTTCTGTAAATGTTCGTTAAAATCACAATTGAAATAAAAAATTTTATTTAAAAACCAAAAAATCAGAAGGAACGGGCACGCCACCCCAGCCTGGCGAGTCTCTTTCCAAGGCAGGACACAGCAGACCTGGGGGAGGGTCCTGAATGGGGTGAAGCCCTCAAGTGCCCACCTTACTGCACCCTCTGCAGAATCGTCCATCTTGCCTCTGATTAATTATGGCCTCAGGAGTGGGCTCTGGGTATTGTCCTGCCATGCACCCTCTCTCAAGCAGCCCACCCTGTGGGGACCAGAAACAAACAAGCCCTGCTCCATCCCTGATCTCTGAGGAGCCCATGGGGGCATTGGATGGAGGAAGGAGGCTGAGCTACACCCACCTGGGACTCAGGAGGCAGGAGCCCTGGGAATGGGCTGAGTGTGGGTGGGTCCCACCTTATCTCTCCTGTCTTCTAGCCTTGCCCCCTCCTGACATATGCCATTGTGTTTGCGCATGTGTTCACCTGTGTATGTGTCTGTGCATGTGCACATCTGTGATGTACACATGGATGTGTGTGCTTGTTCCTGTGTGTGTGCACCCTCTGGCATGCGCATCCAGCTGTTTACATTTGTGTGTAAGCACATGTATGTGGGAGTTGGGAGGAGTAAAGGAAGACAATGTGTCATCTTGAGCCACCAAGTGCAGAGCCTCTGACTAATCTATTTGGGAGTGACCTCTGGACTCAGGGCCTTGGATGTGCAGATGTGATGAGAGGAAGAAGCCTGTGAGGAAGTGACGGGTGACCCTGGAGGGGCTGCCCAGAGGCAAGCAGACATCTGAAGCCCCTGCTCACGTGTGAGGAATGTCCTACTCTGAGGGGCTACTAGATGTGGATGCAGACGTCTGCATGTACCTGGGTGATGTATGCAAAGGTGCATGTACTGGTGTGGAGTGTGCAGAGGTGTGAGTGTACCCATGTGATGTGTGCAGAGGTATGTGTGTACCCGTGTGATGAGTGCAGAGGTGTGTGTGTACCCGTGTGGAGTGTGCAGAGGTGTGTGTGTACCCGTGTGGTGTGTGCAGAGGTGTGAGTGTACCCATGTGATGTGTGCAGAGGTGTGTGTGTAGCCGTGTGATGTGTGCAGAGGTGTAAGTGAACCTTGTGATGTGTGCAGAGGTGTGCATTACCAGTGTGATGTGTGCAGAGGTGTGAGTACCCGTGTGATGTGCAGAGGTCTGCAGGTACCCATGTGGAGTATGCAGAGGTGTGTGCTGCGTGCAGCTGTGTGTTGATGTATGGATATCTTTGTAGCTTCCACTGGACTCTGAGATCCCACGGAATGTGCACGGTTGATGAGGCTGTGGCCAGAACAATATGACCAAGGCCACGACAATGATGCCCAGAGCTGACTGTGGAAGATGGGACTCCCAGAAGGTACACAGCACCATACATGTACACACAGGCAGCCCCCGCTCCATGGGCTCTACTAGGAGGTCACCAGAAATGGAACAGGTCATTGCGGACCTCTGACTCGCCTTGCATCACAGGGAGGGCCCCGGACCCCCTCCTGGACTCTACTCAGAACAAGTAGGCCTGCCATAAACAGAGGGTCCTGTGGGGCATGGCTGATAGTCTGGCACTCTGTGAGCTCTGTGCGGACATCCCTGGGTCTACAGCTCCCCATGCCCCCAAGACGACCCAGCCCCTCACCCTCTACTCAGTGTACCCTATACCCCCTCCTGTGACAAGGCAGAGGACTGATGCAGACCATGTGCTGCATGTGGACAACACTTGCCTAACAGACAGGTGGACAGTGGTGTGCAGCCCCTCCTGGAGCAGTGCTGCCTCCTGCATGTGGTCAGGGTGTCCCTGGACCAGGCTGTGTGTGGAGGGGTGAGTGATCACGTAGGGGACACTCAGCCAACTCAGGCTGCCCTCTTGGGGAATTCGGTTGTCCCGACAAGTGGTCATTGTGGGCTGTCCTGGCTTCTGCCTATGAGATCCACTGAGCAGATGACC